GTAAAGAAAATGCAATTACAGCAGAAATGTAATATTTTATTTTTGTTTCTGTACCAGTTTTACAGTGCTTCAACAGTAAACATCTAAAACGTATCCGCTGACTCCTGGATGTTTATTGTGGACCTGTTAGCTATCTGCCAAGCTAGAAACCAGCTTCACACCCTAGTGAGGGCAGAATAGTAATATTTACAGCCTAAACATGTTCGCCCAATCAGAATTTTGTCCAATGTTTAGAGCAAATAAAAGGTATTACATAATGTCTGCTAAAGCATGTGTTTGCACACACACAGAGAGATTTTGATATTTTATTTTTATGTTGCTGGAACTTTGGAGGCCAGGTCTGCTACAACATGTGCCACACACACACACACACACACACACACACACACACAAACGAAGAAAGTGTAATGTTTTTATTCTTTTGCAGGAACTTGGGTTACCTTTGGAGGTCAGGTCACAGATGAGGTAAGAGACAACAAATACCTTTTACTTTCGCATGTACTTCAATCTCATTGTGAAATGAATGGACCCCATGTAGCCTCAGGTGACAGTTTTGTTGTGCTCTATTTGCACAATACATCCTTTCTTTTCCTTATGTTGGGAGATAAGCTTTTCAGCTGCTTCTCCACTCAACTCTGTACTCAGCCACTCTCTCGAGCCTCTGCGTCACTGAAAATAGGGAGAGTCTATGGCGTTATTTTTGTGCCACTATTCTGAGCGCACGTAAAAATAATTTGCAGGTGCAAGTGTTGCATTTTGAGGAGAAATTTATTTTGAGCGAAGAAAAGCTAAATTTGAGTGAAAAAATTCATTGCTGTGTGCAAAAAATGTATTTCAATGTTTGCTATTATCCATACACACACACAATAGCAGCTCCTCTCGATCAGTTTTTGCATTTGCGCTTGCTCGCATTGTGTTGCTTGCACTCTCAACATTTCTGCCCATGCGCATTCAACTCTTTGATTATTCTATTCTATTCTATATATTTGTATGGCTCCTCCACTTTTAATCAGGTCCAACATCCCCCGTGGCTTCCTGCCGAGAGCCACAGAACAGCAACTTAAATGGAGAAAATTCCGTGAAGGCCTGGGGCACCTCTTGCACTCCAAAACAACAGAGGGTCTAACCAGCAATCCCAATTGCGTTCATCCTCTTGAATGAAATTTCGAATCACTTACTTTAAAGTCTTATCCAGCCGCTTCACCACCCCATCAGTCTGAGAGTGGTAGATGCTGGTCCGAATAGATTTAATGCCCAGTAATTCATACAGCTCTTCCAGTGTGCGAGACATGAACGACATGCCCTGGTCAGTCATTATCACAAGATTACCTGAAACAGCGCTTGCGCTACACTCATTGCAGAAATGGTGTGCAGCAGCACTGCTTCCAGGTATCCCCTTGCATAATCCATCAGAACTAATACAAAGCAATAGCCGCGTGCACTCCGGTGAAATGGCCTGATGAAATCCATTCCAATGCACCACCCCTCCACTGCAGCAGAGCCACAGACCAGACCCCTGCCACACTCATGTTTAAGATGGTGTTCGTATGATTCAGATGAATATGCAATTTCTGAGACAATCATGAAATGACAGCAAATAAGAATGATCTGGTAATAACTGTGACTTTGCAAAAAATTATAGTTGTTGTCAGCAAGCATGTGTTCCTTTAAGCATATTATTAAAGATCTAGATTTAAACTTATCCATTGCTTAAAGGAGAGGTTTAAGAAGTATGCATTTCCAGTTTGTCATTTTAATATTTTGTTTTGTGTCATAAGGAAGTATAATTGAGGAAGAACAGAATAAACAATGTCAGAGCCCCACAAAATGACTTCCAGTTGACCACTGTTATAATTTTCTCTGATAAAAACAATCAGAAACAGACTTCATGAGGGTGACCTGAGGGCCTGATGAAATGGCCCCTTGGCTCACTGGCCAGATTGTGGGACCCAATTGGCATTTCCCATAGAACTGGCAGGCCCACCACTGGCACCCTGTGCTTTTCACAGATCAGTGAAAGCAAGTACCAGTACCAAGATCTAGCTGGACAAGCACAAGAAGCACTGTCAGAAGCCATAAGAAGGTTAAGGTCAAGGTCAAATTTATTTATAGAAATAGATGACATAAGTCAATAAAAACAACTTTAACAACAACTACAACTAAGGCTGTTAAAACCAAAATGTTTTGGTCAAAGCGTGTTAAAAGCCAGACCATGAGACTTCCGGTCTGTCGGGCCGAGTGATGGCTGTGTAGAGTAAACACTCCCAACTTTATTACTCTTTTCCCCAACTTATCTAACTTGAAACCTAAAAAACTTGGACTGTAAGTGCTGGATACCTTTTTCCAAAACAAAAATGCCCAGAAAACTCAAGAAAAAGAACATAAGTGAACGTAGAGAAGTGGGATAAGACGCCTCATCCCAAGCTAGTAGTAATATGGAAGAAGAGCAGCAACCTGATGCAAATGCTAATGTGAAAGACCTCCCCCCTACTAGGGATATTATATTAAAAGAACTGCGTGCTTTCAGAAAAGACACAAATGAGTAGTTTAATGCCATAAGGGAGGATGTGAATGAAATCGGCAAAAGACTTGATGAAGCAGATGGATGCATAGTGGAGAACTTGAATCTAGGTTTTAAGAGGAGTTGCTTATGGAATTAGTGATATGAGACAAAGCTGATGGATCTAGAGTAATGTTCATTTCGCGAGAATCTCAGAATATACGTCGTGAAGGAAGGGGAAGAGGACACATTTCCATCTGAGACTTTTTTGGAAAAGACATTGGGTCTCTCTTCTCCCCCCGCGCTGGGGATTGAAAGAGCTCCCAGTACTGTTGCTGAGACACTCATTTGTTGTCAAATTCGCAAGTTATCGTACCAAGGAAGATATTCTCAAGAAGGCTTGGCAGGCTAGGGTGCTTGATTTTCCAAGCACCAGGATACATTTGGACAATGACTATGCTCCGGAGATACAATGAAGAAGAAGAGAATATGCAACAAAGAAGGTGCTTTGGGACAATAACATCCGCTTTCAGTCCCCTTTCCCGGCCAGGCTGAGCGTGTACTACAGTGATGGAGCAGTGATGTACAACACGGTGCAAGAAGCGACTACAAATATGGTGAAGAGAGGATTATCGGTAGACGTGAAAGACAGGGCTACACTCTTGGACCAAATAAGACAGCAGACTTGGCAAACAAGTGTGAAGAAGAAACAGTGAAATATGATCCAAAAGCAGGGCTTCAAGGAGCGTCTTCAGGCATTTAGGCACCAGTGTGACTGTGGGTAATTAGGCTACTTGAGATGGAGCATCATATTGGAGGTAAATTTAGGACTATAGAGATTTAAGAGTAACTGAGATCACAGACTATATTGATAAAGATGTTTTAGTTATATATTTTGATAATTTCATAACATGAGCATATAAAAGTAGATTAAAGTTGGGTCACTCATATGCATAGTGAGCTGGACTCTACAGACCATTCTGCTTTGGGCCTTTGGGCTGAAGAGGGCACTCTTCCACAAGTGGATAGAAGAGCTTTTCCCTCACCAATTACAACTAATATAGTGTTTTTGTTCTTGGAAGTCAATGTGATTGTATGTTTTTGCTTTATAGTGTTCTTTTTCACACGTGTTGTTTGTTTGGGTTTTTTTCCCCCCAGGGGTGTACTTTTCGATTTCTTGTTATTTACAGAGCTTAAAATCACATAATGTTTTAAATACAGTCTCGTAAGCAAAGTAGTGTCATACAATGTAAATGGCTTGGGGAATCACATTAAAAGAAGCAAAATTAATGTCAAAATTAAAAAGAGAAGGAAAAGAAGTTGGCATTTCACAGGAATCCTACCTATCACAGCCAGAGCATGAAAAACTTAGGAAATGGAAATTTAATCAGTATTCACCTTCTTGTCCTCAGGGCTCCAAAAGGGGTGTGGCAATTCTAATATCAAGCAGGCTAAATTTGGAATATATTCAAGAAATAAGGAATAAGGAGGAGAGGTTTGTGCTAGTAAAGGGATACCTGGAAGGTACACTGATTACTTTTATTAATATATATGCTCCCCCAGGATCAGAGTTAAAATTCTTTAACCTCCTAAGACCTGAACTCTTCCACGGCATGCATTTTTAATTTCTCTTTGATATTTGGGCTGATTGGGACCCGATGAATGTAAAGAAAGAATTACAAAGAATTACCAGATTTTTTTTTTACCTGATTTTTGTTCCTAAGAAAAATGAGAGCCACATATGAGGATATTCGTTTAAAATTTTGATAGAACAGTAGCAGCATAATGTCCTTGTAAGTGTGTATCAGGCCCTTGTAGAGCAAAATTAAATATTTTGGTCTAAATAACCCAAAATGTGATGTCCACATATGTGGACGCCAGGTCTTAGGAATTGAATTGATTGAATTGATTGTTGTTGTCACAATCAGTGGGCGCAGACCGTGTGGAGGGTGTTTGGAGGACCCAGTTGCAGACACAGACGAAGGAGGCAAAACCTTTACTGAACTCAAAGTGAGCCTTTATTGGGGCCAGTAAACAGTAAAGCAAAAATAACCAAACATAAACTATGTCAATGACCTAAACAAAGAGCCTAAACTGGGAAACAACTAAAGACTAAGACAAACTAAGACTCTAACTTGAACTGTACCTATGAGCTATGAACATGACATGAAAAAGCAAAGAACAGAATTCTGGACTGGCACATGAAAGACTATGAAAACATGACAGGAGCAGATTACTATGAACATGACCAGAACAGAGACTGAAAAACTATGAATCAGTACATATAGCTAGAGTGACAGGAATGGTAACAGACGACGCAACACAGACTGAATGAAACACAGGGACTAAATACCCACAGGGATGATCAGGAGAAGTGGAAAGGAAGAAGAGCAGGTGACACACATGAACCTAATGACAGGACAGGGGAAGTGAAACTAGATACAATGAACAAAGAACACCAGACTCTTTTAAAATAAACAGGAAACATGGAGACATAGACATGACACAAACTTGACAACAAGGACAGGTAGACACATGGACCAAGGAGACTTAGTATAGGGGAGATGACAAAAACTACTAAGAAACAAAGGTCTAAACTGCAACCTAGAAATTAACTAGGTGAGCTAAACTAGAACACAAATGAATACAAAACATACATAAAAACTCAAACACAAGGCATTGTAATTTTGGGAGGGGATTTCAATGTTCGACTCAATCCATCCTTAGAATCTTCAAACCTACATGACCCAGGACTAAACAAAATAACCAAAAATGTTAAATACATTTTAAAGGATTTAGGGCTTATAGATGTTTGGAGAGATTTAAATGCCATAAAACAGGATTATACTTTTCTCTCTAACCTGCATTCATTCTATTCTAGATTGGACAATTTTTTATGTTCCAAAAAGACCTTAACAGTGTGGATAACTGTAGTATAGGAGTGATGGATTTATCGGACCAATTA